TAATGCTCCTGATAATACACTACAAAACTTTCTTGAGTAAGTTTATTGAACTCCTCAACCACGTAACAGTCAACAAGTTTCCCAAACCTTCAATATAATTCTTCCACAAAGTCATCCCAGCATTGGAGCTCATTTTGAGCAAGCAAACCCTGGTACCATACATCTGCCAGCTAGAAACAGAGTGACCAGCTCTACCATCTATTCCTCTATAACACCATGCACTTGAAAAACTTTCAGGCAGCGTCTAACCCAATATCCAGGATTGTCCCCATAGAACACAGAAATTTCTACCCTTGGAAAAACAAAACTTGAGTGTTCATAGGGGACCCAAGACTGTTACTACAACCTCCCGTCTCTCTTGGTCTTGGAGTAGGTAAGATTCCCTGTAAGGTATGGTTGGAAGTATGAGAGGAAGTTACCAGGGTTGCTGGCATTGTTTGTTTGGTCAATCCATGAACCAATTCGGACAAGCACCCGATTCTTGCTTCGAGTTGCTCCTGGCTCTAGCACTGGTTTTCATTCAATTGCTGCAAGCGATTTGTAGTCACCAGTTATGCGTTGCATGGTTTAATAGACCTTCATCGTAAAATCCTTAAACCTCTAGTCATAACCCTTCATGGTGTCTTCCATGTGTTGAAGGCATTGATTATCATTCATGGTGGTCTTACTGCGAGCCATAACCACACTAGAGGTAGGGGTATCCTCATTATCGGAGAGCTCTGATACCAAGTTCTTAGGAGCCTTAAACAGAGACTCCAACAAGGGAAAGGTTTAGAGAGAAAAATGCAGGATGTAAAGAAGAAAGGAATTAGAGAGCTTTTTTGGGAGAAGAAAACTGAGTAGAGTAAATCAATAAGCAGAGGAATTAGAGAAAGAGATAGTTCCATAATAGTCCTTTTTCGTGAATGATTGATTTCCTTAAAATTTTTGCATAGATGCTCCATACATCAGTACAGTCCTATTTCCACTGCAAATTCCAAAATCAAGACAGAAATAGTACA